ACCATTTAACCAATCAACTTTGGGAGTATATATATATATATATATATATAGAATGGAGGACATTCACAACCCTGAACTGCAGCAACATGCTCATGGAAGAGCAATTGGAAGGCGTGTAAAAATACGTGGTGGTGGTAGAGGAAGAAATAATCGAGGAAGAGGTGGAAATAGAAGAGTCAGAGTCTCTGATGAAATCAGAGCCACACTTGTGGATCATGTCATAAATCTGACCATTGCAGGGGATGAGTGCGGCATTCAAAGAGATTTTTTCCACGGTGTGTGGCAATGGTAACATCAGATATGATGTTGATGAAAATATTTGGCCTGACCAACGTGAGCGACAAGATGTCCACCAAGAATAATTTGTTTCTTTTTTTTTCTTCATGAATGTTATTTGATGTTTGTGTATTTGTGGTAATACACAAATATGAAATGTAAAGTGGAATCTTGTTACTCTTGTCAGTTACTTTACATGTACAGTAAATACACTTGTATTGTGTATATACACATGAAGTACAAAAATAAACACTGTAAAAATTACAAATCTCAACAAATATGAGATTTCTTAACAGTAAACCCTTAATTTTCATGGTTGGCTGTTGTGGTGAAAAAACAACTAAACATTTTGACCAGTGTGGCTCACACAATGACAAAAATACTTTAGATTTTGGTGGCCTTGGCCAAATTATTGACAAAATAACTAGGTTTTGAAGCATGAATTAAATGTTTTGGGTGAGTAACTACATTTTGCAGACATGCTATAAAGTTTTGAAGTTCCTGCAAACAGTTGTGACTTTTGCACTCACAGTTTAGAGAATGTTAAGACTGTTTCGAAAAATGTGCCAAAGCAATTGAGAAAAACTGTAGTATGGTGTTCCTAATAATCCTAAATATATACAGTATATATACTGTATAATTAAAGTTTATTAAACACCATTTATTTAGATTTTTGTTTGTGTCCTTGCTGAATAAAATACCATTTTTATTTCATTGAAAACAACTTTAATGTATACCTTTGCCCAGTCATAAAAAGACAGAGAGAGAGACAGACAGACAGACAGACAGACAGATAATAGATAGATAGATAGATAGATAGATAGATAGATAGATAGATAGATAGATAGATAGATAGATAGATAGATAGATAGATAGATAGATAGATAGATAGATAGATAGATAGATAGATAGATAGATAGATAGATAGATAGATAGATAGATAGATAGATAGATAGATAGATACTGTAGATAGATAGATAGATAGATAGATAGATAGATAGATAGATAGATAGATAGATAGATAGATAGATAGATAGATAGATAGATAGATAGATAGATAGATAGATAGATAGATAGATAGATAGATAGATAGATAGATAGATTTCCCTGAGGTAAATAAGTCCATAAGAATTGGTTGCTCTGTTTTGTTAAAGGCTTGTTTGAAGCTCTCAGTGTGGATTCAAATTTTAAAGCCTTTGGACATATTAGCCTTTGGCAAACAACACGGCTGTAGTGTAGTGTGTTTGAAGTGCGGGAACACACTGACGTGCGTTTCCGATGTGTGAAGTGCCTGCCCGTATGTGTATGCCTGTTTGTTGTCACAGCACAATAAGGATCCAGGTGGTTTGGATCTCCACGGGGATCTGTGTGTGAATTTGAGAGCGAGGCCTCAAAAGTTTGGTGAGCACCTGCGTGTTGTGAACATGGCAGACTACACAGAACATGTCTCGACGATGAGAGGATGATGAAATGAAAAGAAAGCTGGATGGAAAGAGAGAGAACAGCTCTTAGACAGGCTTGAGCAACAGCGTCCATAACACTCATTTTTATATTTTTCAGTTTTTCAGACTACTAATTTAGATAATATGTAATGATAATTCAAAACATTTACAGTGGGGCCAAAAAGTATTTAGTCAGCCACTGATTGTGCAAGTTCTCCTACTTAGAATAATGAGAGAGGTCTGTAATTTTCATCATAGGTACACTTCAACTATGAGAGACAAAATGAAAAAAAAAAAAATCCAGGAAATCTAACACAGTCTCATCCCAAAAAGTCATATAACTGACGTCTTGGGGCGTATTTTGACCATACGTCAATATCCGCCTTTTTAGGGCCCCCTTAAACGTCGGTAGATGGCAATCCCGGGCCGTCATACAACTGACGCTTTAGCTTTAACGTCAGTTAGGTGACGGGTTAGGTTTAGGTATGGGGTAGAGTTAGGATCCCATAACCTCATCTACCGACGTTTAAGGGGGCCCTAAAAAGGCGAATATTGACGTATGGTCAAAAGACGTCCCAAAACGTCAGTTATATAGACCGGGTTGGGAAATCACATTGTAGGATTTTTAAAGAATTTATTTGTAAATTATGGTGGAATTTAAGTAGGTCACCCACAAACCAGCAAGATTTCTGGCTTTCACAGACCTGTAACTTCTTCTATAAGAAGCTCTTCTGTCCTCTACTTGTTAGCTGTATTATTGGAACCTGTTTGAACCCGTTATCTGTATAAAAGACACCTGTCCGCAGCCTCAAACAGTCACACTCCAAACTCAACCATGGCCAAGACCAAAGAGCTGTCAAAGGACACCAGGAAGAAAACTGTAGACCTGCACCAGGCTGGGAAGAGTGAATCTACAATAGGCAAGCAGCTTGGTGTGAAAAAAAAAAATCAACTGTGGGAGCAATTATAAGAAAATGGAAGACATACAAGACCACTGATAATCTCCCTCGATCTGGGGCTCCACGCAAGATCTCATCCCGTAGGGTCAAAATGATAATGAGAACGGTGAAAAAAAATCCCAGAACTATACAGATGGACCTGATGAATGACCTGCAGAGAGCTGGGACCAAAGTAATAAAGGCTACCATAAGTAACACACTACACCGAGAGGGACTCAAATACTGCAGTGCCAGGTGTGTCCCCCTGCTTAAGCCAGTACATGTCCAGGCCCGTCTGAAGTTTTTGCCAGAGAGCAAACTTCAATGAAGGAGTGGCTCCGCAAAAAGCATTTCAATGTCCTGGAGTGGTTTAGCCAGCCTCCAGACCTCAACCCCATAGAAAATTTGTGGAGAGAGTTGAACTTCTGTGTTGCCCAGCGACAGCCCCGAAACATCACTGCTCTAGGGGAGATCTGCATGGAGGAATGGGTCAAAATACCAGCTACAGTGTGTGCAGACCTTAAGACTTACGGGAAACGTTTGACCTCTGTCATTGCCAACAAAGGTTATGTTACAAAGTATTGAATTGAACTTTTGTTATTGAACAAATACTTATTTTCCACCATAATTTACAAATAAATTCTTTAAAAATCCTACAATGTGATTTCCTTCAATGTGATTTTTTTTTTCTCATTTTGTCTCTCACAGTTGAAGTGCACCTATGATGAAAATTACAGACCTCTCTCATTATTCTAAGTAGGAGAACTTGTACAATCAGTGGCTGACTAAATACTTTTTGGCCCCACTGTGTATAACGCTTTTCTCAGGACTCAAAGTGCTTTACATAGAACGAGGGGATCTCCTTAACCACCACCAGTGAGCAGCATCCACCTGGATGATGCGGCGGCAGCCATAGTGTGCCAGAATGCCCACACACACCAGCTTACTGGCCAATTGGTTAAAGCAAACCCATTTTAACAGTGTTATTTTTTTTATCGCGCGATTAACAATCTTTTTGTCCAAGCAAACTTTGTAGTTTTTTCAAATGCTTTTGCAACAGGATGCGGCATGCATCCTGATCCATTTCGGTGTCTTGCGCTCGTCATCCACTCAAAGCCGGCTCGCAAGCTGAAACGTGCATTTGCGGCGTGCCTGTTGTTTTGTTTCCGGTCTAGCTAGATCTGCTTGCGCTTTGGTCGAAGAAGCAACAAAACGTCCTCGTGCGGCGCAAGCCATTGAAATGAATGGGTTTCAGAGCGCAGAACGAGGACGCTTTGTACCGCACACACTCGTTTCGGCTTGCGAGCCGGCCAAATAGCAACGTTACGTTTTGAGTGGATGACGAGCGCGAGATGCCGAAAAGGATGCCCTAAGATTCTGAATGGAAAGTTTACTTTTAAAAAGTTGCCAAATTGTCCCATTGACAAGACCAAGTGATCTGTGTGTTTTGTCATTGTGAGCTGAGCTATCATCATCATAGCACGTCCAGTCTGAAACACCACTTGACGATGGCCAAGCACACACACACACACAGACACACACACACATGATGCGAATTCTCCACCCCCTCGTCAATATCAGGACCTCGTCAGTATTTCTTTCACCCTTTTATTGATAGACAGTGTTACATTGTGTGAGAGACTATTTATATATGTTAGTGTGAAATTGAACACTATTCCAATGTTATTTTCAATAATAATAAAAAAAAAACATTTGCACTAAACAAGCCAATCCACTTTTCCATGCTGATAAGAGCATTAAAATGAGAAAAAATAATGTAACAAAAAGAAATCAAAAGACATTTAGAATATTTAGAACATATATATATATATATATATATATATATATATATAAATCACACCACATGAGCTCAATACACTAAATTATCTCAATACCAGTTTTATTCAGGCACGAGGGAAACGTTGCGTCCTCTCTTCACTCCAGCCAATCACATTGACATCAAACTCAGTAATCAAGACATCACAGAGCAACAAAAGAGCGGCAAAGCGAAGCATGATGACAACACGACATTGTGAATGAAAGCCTCACGCATCTTCCATTGATTATCTTTCTAACCACAAAGCATGATTAATCAAACATGCTAATTAAACATTCAACCGATTGGCAGGGTGGAACAGAAGCAGTCATCAGCAACAGACTGTAAGGTGACTAATGACTCTAATTTACCACAACTTAATTGGGGGAACAAAAGAAAGGGCTGTTTGAACATGTGTGGCATGAAGAGGTGACAGGTGTGAATCTCACAGAGCCCTTAGAAAGGAAGAAATGTTGTGGAAAAAGACCCAAAGTAAAGATACTTTATTTCTTTTGTCATGGTACTTACCCTGACTTGACCCACAAACACATTGGCCTCTTCCTCCTTCACTGTCAGGTTTGTGGGCAAAGTGAGGTCAAAGGTGGGGTCGTTGTCATTAACATCTGTGACGACAATGCTGACGGTGGCAGTGGAAGTCTACAAATAAAGACATATTCATTAGATATCAGCAGGAATAAATTCAATATACATATGGAGAAGTTACAGGATCAGCATAGATGTTGGTTCTGAAACAAAAGTGTACCAATCTGTAATTATTTGATTTTTAGAGGTCATTCAGGGTTATAATTATTTAATAAGAATTGACCCTTTTAACATTCCAGGGGTCTTCATTATAGACTTTCCATGACTTTTCAAAAAAGTGAAAAAAAAAAAAAAAAAATATATATATATATACTGTATATATACAGTATATATATATTGATTACGTTTGTCAAAAGAGAAAAATATGTCAAATTTGCCATCACTCTCTCGGGCCATTGTATAAGAAAATATGGAAGCTTGTTTCCACCACGGAATAAGACAATTTAAAAATAATAGCAACTTTTTTTTTCTTCTTTTTTCTCAGAATTGCGAGTTTATGTCACGCAATTGGGACTTTATAACATGCAGTTGCAAGCTTATGGAATTCTGAGAAAAAAAATAATATTTGAGAGTTTATAACTCACAATTCAGGGTTTATGCAATTCAGACTATATCATGCAATTTTGATTTTATATCACGCAATTATGACTTTACATTACACAATTCTGACATTATATCACACAATTCTGAATTTATTTCACGCAATTATGACTTTATATATAACTCACAATTGTGAGTTTACATCTGAAATATTTTACATTCAAATATATTTAAATATATTTAATAAAAATTCTGAATTCTGAGATAAAGAGTCACAATTGGCTTTTTTATTTTGTATTCTGTGGCAGAAACAAGCTTCCGTAACACCCTCGCAGGAGCATTCATTGTTTTTTTGTGATTTACTGACAACACAATATAGCGTTACAAATGTGTATTTTTTTTTTAAATTGTTTAAAACTTTACTAGATTTGCAATGTTCTTAACTGTGAAAGTGCGTCATTATGGTTTGTGAAAAGGGTCCATATTGTTGAATGGCAAGAAGAATGTTGATCCATGATTATGGCAGTTTTAATAACTTTTTTTTTTTTTTTTTTTTTTTTACAAAAATCAGACCCCGAACCATTTGCAGAGTTCACTGACATTCACCCATCTGCCAGTCATTTTTTTTATTTATTTATTTTTAGCTTTTGTCTTCCCTAAAAAAAAAAAAATCGGTTACTCGGTTCTCTCTAGAAGGGGGAACGAGTATTGTGTAAGTTAGCTTACGCTAAAGGAAAGTTTCATCTTTTCGAAATATTGAAGCCAATAAATTTTCCTTAATTTTATATTCATTGTCAACACAGTGCAGCAGCTAGCAGACATAGAGCAGGGTGTGACAGCCCGGCGTGACGTCACGTCCAATGAAGGGCACTCGCGCACTCATCGCGTCATAGCCCGCCAGAATGGGCGTGGCTTAGCGTATATAAGCGTGGCTCGGAGGCTGTCTCCTTTGGTCCGTGGCATGAGCACAGCAGATTACTTAATACTCGTTCCCTCTTCTAGAGAGAACCGAGGTTACGTTAGGTAACGATACGTTCTCTTACGAGAGGTTCTCTCGTATTGCACAAGTTAGCTTACGCTACGGGAACCCTTTGTCAATGCCGTGCACGTCAAGCATCCACTCATGAATCTCAGGGAATCCCAGGAAGCCCAGATTAAGTAGGGAAATAAAGCAGCCAGCAACGCTGGCCGGCACAAGTACATAAGCACTCATAGGTAATACAGAATGGCGCAGCCGGTCCGTATGAGCATGTAGCATTTTAACCCAATATAGTGCAGCTCAACCAGGAGAGCTAAGTCACGTGAGAGTAGCCTGTGCACGATCTGATCTGGACAGAATGTACATCTCAATTATACTGACAGGAGTTTAGCCTGCAGAGCGAGAACTTCCAGGTTATAGAACCTAACAAAGTTGGACGGGGAGGCCCAGCCTGCTGCCACACATATGTCATGAATAGAAATTCCGCTGGACCATGACCACGACGTGGCCATTCCTCTAGTGAAGCCCTTATGCCCAAAGGGCATTGCAAACCTTTTGACACATAGGCAGCTGCAATAGCGTCCACTATCCATCTGGACAGGCTTTGTTTTGAGGTGGCCAGACCCTTGTTGCACCCACCGAACAAACAAAAAGCTGCTCCGAGCACCTGAAAGGGACGGAACGTGTAATGTAAGCCCTCAGCACCCTAACCGGGCAGAGGAGAATAACATCGCTCTCGCTATCGGATGCTGGCAGAGCCGATAGAAAAATGACCTGCGCTCTGAACGGAGTGCCAATCACTTTAGGGACATAGCCATGTCTAGGTTTGAATATGACTTTAAAGTCATTCGGTCCAAACTCAAGACACAGCACTGACAGACAGCGCATGTAACGCCGCCTTCACACTGGCAGTTGAAATCAGCTCCGATGCGGCTGCGAAACGACCGGAAGTCATTCATTTTCTTATGGAGATTCGCAGGCCGCATGCGAATGGGTCCGAAACGGGTCCGACCGAGTGCGGTGCGAAGAAAATCGTGTCCGTTGGTCATCCGGATGCGTTCAAAAATTTGAACTCGTGAGAAAATCTACGGACGGTTCCTATCCGACAATTCCAGCGGAAGTTGACCGTTGCTATGGTACTGATAAACAAACCTGAATTATTAACTTTTAATAAAATAAATAATGATTTTATAACGATAAGTTGTCATGTCATTTTTTATTTTCATGACTTTCTAACGTTTATAAGGGCAGTTAATACAATTAAATTGAAGGTAGACATTGAACTATTGACCACTATATCACATTTTTTAGCCGACCTGACATGTCAACGTCCTCAGCAACTTTCCTCACGCAGCATAACCCTCGAGAGATCATACAGAACTGACAGAATCAACTTTTAATCTCTCCGCCATTTTTGTTCTATTCGCGTCCGACGCTTTTCACTGTGTAGTACGACGTCCGTTGGGAACGTATTGCGTATTACGGAGCTGATTTAAACTGCCAGTGTGAAGGTGGCGTAAGACTCCCACACGTTTGACTGATGATAGAACAGTCAGAAAAACGGTTTTGAGTGATAGGTACTTAAGATTCACGGTATCTAATGGTTAAAAAGGATATGCTTTCAGGGCCTCGAGGACCTAAAAAAATCCCACATAGGAACCGACAGGGGGCGAGGGGATTTATTCTCCTAGATGCACTTTTGAGCGGGCACGGGAGTTACATTTGTATATGACGCACTGATCGCTTTGGATGGGGAGCGTTTTGTGACAACTTCGAGACACGTGGGTGGCGTCTGCAGAGAGGTGTGTGTTAATAAGCGTGTGCGCTAGTGAGCGGGCATGGGACTTATATTCATTCCCTGACCGTTATTGGGCAGTTTTGGCCATATGCAACAGCGGACAGAGAGTAGGCGTGGGCATGGGCTGAATGTACCAGCGTACGTCGTCGGGACTCAGCCGTCTTTTCCCTCTTGCTTCCGCTAGAAGAGCTGACTGAGCACGAGGGTGGGACAAAGGTGCGCTGCTACCGCTTCCTCCATAGGTGGGATAGAGGTGTATCCCTTCTCGGCGGTGCCGTCCACTTGGGAGAGCGACACGGAGATTTGAGATTGGAGCCTCGCAGAGAACCACGATTTTGCAGGCTCCGTGTGGAGTTCTGGCAGGAAAGGCAGGCCTGGATGCGGGCGGTTGACGGCGGATTTCAATTGGACTTCAATGGACTTCCATTTTCAGAAAAAGTGGTGTCGCAGCAGCGAACACACACAGGAGAATAATGCTCTGAGAAGAAAAGGATACATCGCCGGATAGCGTCGCTCCTCAGACGGTGGTGGCTTCTCTCGGAGTCCACCGATGCGGAGAGCTTCACTGAAGAGATGAAAATCAGGGAGACAGCCTCCGAGCCCCGCTTTTATACGCTAAGCCACGCTCATTCTGGACGTGACGTCCAGCGGACTCAGTGGTAGGCTGCTGCAATTGCCGCAGGGCAGCCAATGAGCACGCTAGACAGCCTGCTCTAGGTCTGCTAGCTGCTGCACTGCGTTGACAATGAATACAAAATTAAGAATAATGTTTTGGCTTCAATATCACGAAAAGATGGATCTTTCCCATGGTGTAAGCTAACTACGCAATATGAGAGAACCTCTCGTAAGAGAATATTTAGTTTCTGACTCTATTCTAGAAACACTATATTTGCAGATGTGTAATCAATTCATAAGCAATTGAGATCCTGGGGCTTAAAAGTTTAATAGCACACAGTGAGGAATATAAATTCAACCGATCAGTCAAGATCAGCATGTAGAGTTTAAATCCCAGTGGGATGTCTATGAAAAATTAATTCACAAAAAGGGGGGTGGGTTTTTAATTATATATTCACAGATGAAGTTTGTTGTTTACAGAGGTGCACTATAAAAGTGTGCTTTTTTGTGCTTTAATGAGACTCTAAGATCACATGCAAAGAGAGTACATTTCTGTCAAGAGGCTTCATCACCATCAAACACACACACGCACACACTACCTGCAAGACTAGTGCAAAACGAATCTGCTGAACCCAACTGAAGGCTGTTTGATCTCAAGAATGTGAGCTGCACTGAATATTTAATTTGATATCATTATCACGTTTTAAGAGGTGGAGGTCAGGTAAATGACATTGATTAATAAGCCGCATGGCACTTTCCGTGACCATGTTTTAAAACGTAAATGATTTAATGGACTTGTTTGACCAGATGAAAGTCAGTTATGTTGCACAGGGAGAGATTAAGGCACATCCCTCTGTCTCGAAATGCTTTTACTTTAACATGTCTGCCTCACTTCAAAAGTCCCTCTTCATCAGTTTTACATATACCAGCCCGTGCTTGAGAAATGAGCTTCATGCAGTCATTTAGCACACCAGCGTTTCCGTTCGCTGAAGTTCGCTCATTAGAGAAGCTAAGCTGATAAAAAGGTGAATGTGTAAACAGAATGGGTAACGAGTCTAATTACAGAACATCTTTAAGGAGTTTTTTGACAGTAATGACTGTGCAAAAGAAATAAAATAATTAATAGAAAATCATCGTCGCTGCCCGATGAAACTCACGTATGTCCAAAACGGTTACTTTTCAGGAAGTGAAAAAAAACCCATGTAATTTCAAAAGCAGCTGAACGTAGCGTTGTCATGCTTGGTACAACATCTTTAAATGTAACCATATTCTTGCCAGTGTCATGATATAATCCACATTTGATTTGACCCAAAATCGAGTTTAAATACGTGCATATTGTACAGTATCGGTGTTCGATACACGTTCTTCCGATCATTAATTAGAATGACCAAATCGCGTTTCATACTGACAGATGAATAGGATACGCTCAGTTTATTAAATAGCCAACATCTCAGTTTATCAAATACGCTCAGTTTATTAAATGTCTCTTGCAAACTGTGAAGAGACAATGAATCAATACACTGACATGGCGATGCTAGACTGCCTACCGTAATTTTGTCACTCCTCTCCACTATGTCTGGCATCAGGGGGGAAAACGTTTACCTCGATAAAGTTAGGCCTACTGTAAAGGACAGTCTTGAGAACAGTTGTCAAAAACAAAAGTTTGATGATACTTTACCTCACAGTGTTATTCGGCAATCTAATGCTGAGCTTGGCTGTTTACACCTGGCCACTTGACTTCATGTGTTTTCTCAGATCGGATAGTTATCTGATTTATCAAAACGATTCCATTTACACCTGGTCACATAAATGTGTTTTTGCGAAACGGATATAAATCCGATCTTCAATTCGCGCGCCTATATGCAGATTTAATGAAGTGCACGTCACCGAAAGCAACAGATATGACCCGAATTTTATTGATCATCGGCTAATTTCAAAAGACAGCAATAACAGAGCGGAAAAGATCATTTCGTTTCTTTAGGCTACTTTTAATGAAGATGGTAGTGTTAATCATCTGCGTCTTACTTTCACTTTGATTTGCGATAGATTGCGGTGCGTTGGCTTGATAGGCGTTCAGCCTCAGACAGCAAACTGACATTGAATCAACGTGGAAACGACGTCTCTCATGACATCGAAACAACGTTGATTTTGCTCATCGAATTAACGTTGAACCAACGTCAGATGCGGCATTCTTCAAAGCTAAATGAAAATCGAAAATTGGTTTGCTTTCATAACGTTGAAACAACGTTGATTTCAAGTTGATTTTCCGCTAGTTTTAAAAGAATGACGCATCTGACGTTGGTTCAACGTTAATTCGATGAGCAAAACAATGTCAGATCAACGTTGTTTCAATGTCATGTTTCCACGTTGATTCAATGTCAGTTTGCTATCTGGGGCTGCTCATCTGAGGTGATGCGTGTCGCAGTAGCGTCATCATATCTGACTAAAATAACATGACATATAGCCTATAATACGCTCTCACACATTTACTTTTTAGCATTTTTTTGGAAGGAGTAAAATTTACATATGTGGTTTCAACAACCAGATGTCCACTTTCTGGAATGGGGCCCAGACCACCTCCTGAAGTGGTTTGGGCGATCAGATTCTAATCCGTCTCAAATGCGTTTCGGGGGGGACATTTACACCTGGTCTTTTCACGATCGGATAGCTATCCGATCACAGAAAACGCACGAAGTGGTCAGGTGTTTGCTATTATGAAGCTTCATGAGACCAGCGAGATGCCTCCACAGGGCGGGGAAAAACGCTGCGTGATTGACAGCTTTGACAGCAAATGGATATACGTGAAAATCAGATGACATGATTTCACAGCTTTTCATTGGTCATTTAGATAATGTGAAGCATGCTGTATAGAAAGCCTAAGTCCCTCCCCTTCCGGTCGACCACCATGGGACCTTAATTCGGAAAAATATTGAATGGTAGTCAATGGCGAGAGACAACAAATATTTTGATCTCGTTTGAATTGTGCCCTGAATTACACATATGATGTTTTTCATTTTAAAGTAAAGAAAGTCGCAGTTTGATGTAAAACCGTTGAGGTATAAGACTGTGAAAATACGTAATTACAAAGACTACAAACCCCAAAGGCGCACATTTTCTCTCAATGAATGAAGCTAACTTTACTGAGGCTGTCTGTCATTGTTTCTACAGTCTTACGTTATAATCGTAACATTACGCCGTCCTACCTGAGTGTTTTGTACAAGACTGCACACACACGAGCAGCGGATCTCGTTTCGTTTACCGGGAGATGTATTTCACAGAGCGATTTTTACATAAAACTAAATGTTACTCTTCTGTTGTATGACAAACTGCGACGTTTTTGACTTTCAGAATTATCTTTTAAATTGACAAACATCATACGTGTAATTGAGAGCACAGTTCAGACGGAATAAAAAGATAAGTTGTCTCTCGCCATTGACTACCATTCATATTTTTTCCGAAATAAGGTCCCATGAGCCGGAAGCGGAGGGGCGGGACTTAGGCTCTCTATACGGAAATGAACCTGGACTTTCTATCCGTCGAAAAATCTCAAAACGGATTTCATCGGACAGCGACGTTATATAGGAACAGTTTTCTGCAGCTTTGTTTGTGGTTGTGCTGAAAGACCATAAAAGTGGAAGTTTGAAGCAAAAGGAACATTCATCAGCAAATATATGATAAAGAGAAGAAGCGAAGTGATTAGACATTTCACTCAGAACAGCTGTCAGTCAGCGGTGTAGTGCTGATATTGTGGGATGGATGGAGTCTCACCCCTCCTGGCTGGCCATCAGAAGCAGTGACGATCAGCCGATACTGGTCAATAGTCTCTCTGTCCAGAGGTTTGGCCAGCAGCAGGAGACCTATACTGAACAGACACAAAACACTCTTGTTAAAACTTTCTATTCAATTGATTACCACCATGTCCATTTGGCGGCTCTGTATGGTGACCAGAGACCATTAAGAAACATATACCTGTACAAATATTCAGATTAGATGTGTCAAATCAGTGATGTCAAACATAATTGATTCTCATAACCAGTTACGATGCACTAAATTTGAATGTGATTATAATTAAATAGCAGTCCAAATTAGTGCACAACATCTCTGAATCTCCGAAGAAGAGCTCTGAATCTTATGGACTATTCTTATAGTCCACGTAAGTATATTACACGTTTAAGGTGCCTTTATCATTTTTGGAGCTTGAAATCCTTACACTTTCATTATGTAGAAAGAAAAATCAGTATGAACAAAGGAAGTAAACCCATATAGGTTAGTAAATGATGACAGAATGTAAAAATGTGGGCTGAACTATCCATTTAAAGGCATAAATCTTTTCATAATTGTGAGAATTATTATGAGGTAGAACACATACGCCAACTCAGAACTGAAAGATCAGAAATTGTGCCATGGAAATTGTATTCAGGATAACATTTTAAGGTGTGTTCATAACCTGATTTGCATAATTCCTTTGGTGAGGAAAACAATGCAGACAGTAAATAATCATTGGTATCAATGGGTGCAATACAGCATATCTGTGATCGTTCACGCAGAACCACAGCCACAGGGACGACATAATCATCCAGAGACCAATAGGATTTCTGCAAATCATGGCTTCATCCAACAGTGCGCTCACATGTGTGTGTATCTATGGGGGTGTTGTTGGATGAGGATGGACAGACAGGTTCCTGTTAACATTGCAGTCACACACAGCAGAAAAAGCAGGCTGCTGTGCTGCTTGCTCGTGTGTGTGTGTGTGTGTGTCTGTCTGTGTAGAATTATATTCCTCCTCAGTTGACCCCTGCAAAAGCGATATTGAACGTGTCCTCTGAAGCCTGTGAAACAGGCGTATAAAACACTTCAGTGGCCGGGATTCTCTTTTCTTTCGGCATCACAAACCTTCTGTCAAGCACATAGCATTCACGGCAAAGTCTTTAAATTTTAACATCGTTTTTTTAATGACTCTTCAACTGTCTTTGCTGTTTCTTCAACAGGCAAAATCCTTTGGAAGACAAATCAATGAAGGAAGGTTTTATTTCAGCAGTCACCCCAGAAAACATCTCTGCAGCTTTTTCTATCAATGAGATTAAATGAGATGAGATGAGACAGAAAAAAGAGAAGAGATCAACTGAGACTAGATGAGAAATATGTGGTAAAATTAAGATGAGATGAAGCTAGACGAGGCAAGTGAAAGGAGAAGAGACAAAATGAGATGAGATAAGAAACATAATGAGAGAAAAGAGAAGAGAACACATGTTGAGAAGTGATGAGAAATGATGAGAAGATGCAATACGAAGAGATAACCAGATTCAATGGAATCAGATAAGGCATGCAGAGAAAGGTACAGATGTACAATCAATGTGCCATCAATGAACCATACAGTCCCGTCCCTAAAATCACGCCATTGGTTGAACCAATTTTCCTATGTTGGTCCAGTAAAGCAGTATGAACATATATAGCTGCGACCATGTCATAATAACAGTAATTACGAGATTTTTTTTGTGTTATATTTTAAGTGTGAATGCATTTTTAAAGGTGAAACTAATGTGTACGTTCATACAGAAACACTTAATGCGTTTTATTTAACTTATAAGTTTCGAAAACTTACGTTCGTGAAAGGTTGAAGACCTGCTGCGGATCACCGCTATCTATCTTGTAGGTGATCGGATCCAGCTCACGGTCTGTAGCCTGTGGAAATACAGCAAACCACACTCAGTTTACTCTGGTTGTTCAGACAAGTGCTGGTAGGTGAATCATAAAATCAATGAAACATAAAATCAATTGCAACACACTTATTCACAACCCGCTTAAGTGTGAAGGCCAAGTCTGTTTGAAGGGCATAATGAACAAGCAGAATTGGTGACTTTTAAAAACACGTATAAATGTATAACCCAAGACCTTTGCTAGACTTTCCAGGATACCTGTTGATAGTTATTATGCTATTTTCTAAGTCTGACAGCTTCACCTGTCTGTGCACTTGTCAAAAAACGTAAATTAAT